TATTGAAGCCTACGCGCAGTGTTTATCTTTAATAAAAGAGACTTCTCTGCATTCTAATAAGAACCTAAATTTTTGCACTTGTGTAAACGACGGTTTAAAGTTTTTCCAGAGATACTGGTATAATAAGTTTTTACTTTTATGTCATCTGTAGAAAGCATTTATCTTTTACGTTGCAGTTTTACTACCTTCTTCTTAATCAAAACCGAAAACCTTCAGCATCCTTACACTTTAATCAGTACTGATATTTTTTGCACATCCAATCTTGTAATAGTCTTAATAATTATTTACTGACGTCGATTGACAACTTATATCTATTTTGTATATTTTTATATATTTAATTTAAAAAGTAACAAATTAGCATATTACGTTATTAATGATTGCATATAAAATTATATATACAGGTTAAAGTCAATCCTGTCTATACGCAGTTAATATTTATATATTATCAAAAAATCATTGAATACTTTTTTTTATATGTAAGTACGTCATTATTAAAACATTTAAAACTTTCGTATTTTCAGAATATACAAATGGCCGGGTCAAAAAGCAAAAAATATTATTGTGTTATTGCCAAGCCCCTAATAATCCACAAATAATACATATTCCCATTTATAAATATATTAATACATATGCATATATATATATATATATATATATATATATATATATATATATATATATATATATATATATATATACATATATATATATATATATATATATATATATATATATATATATATGCATATATATATATATGCATATATATATATATATATATATATATATATATATATATATATATATATATATATATATATATATATATATATATATATATATAATATTATATTATATACATTAACCATCATTCATAAAAATTCAAAAAAAAAATGTTAATAATAAATTCAGAAATGTAATTAAAAAAACAAATGAAAACAAAGAAAAAGAAGAACAAAATGTTTAAAAAACAAACAAACAAATATAAAAAAAAGTCAAAAATATATTCAATGTATTTTTAAACTATTGCGATTAAAAAAATAGTATTAAGAAATATTATACTAAGAATTCAAAAAATCTGAATAATTTATTCACATATAAATTTAGATCAAAATAAAAAATTATTTAAAGAACTTATTTTGTTGCATATAAAAAAAAAAACACATCATATGATATTCTGATGACCGCTAAATGGATCTATAAGAAGGCCATATAATATTCTAATGACCGCAAAATAGCTCTTGAAGAAGTCCACATTCTTATATATTTATACATTATATATTTTCATTATTTAAAATTTGATACAGGTAAAATTTTGCACAGTAGCAGGTTTTAGGGGGGTGGGGCATGGGGTAGTAGTCCCCTTCCTTGGGACTTTTTTTCATTAATATTCTTTTGTAAATTGACTATTAAAAAGAGTTTGACTATTGTACTGACGAATGAAATTGACTATTATACGTACTATACGTGTATGAACTTGATTATTACACTAAAGTATCAGAAGTTTAAAAAGAAAGTTACTTATAAATGAAAATATGCAAACCTTTTTTTTTTTTTTTTTTTTTTTTGAAAACCTTCCTTGGCAAGTACAATGCCGATATTTTCGGCAATTTAATTTTCGATAAAGTTTATGTGATTTTTCCACGAGACAAAAAGTCTAAATAAAAAATTATAGAGAAGAAAAGAATAAATTTAGATTTATTATGAAACTCATGTTTTATATAAAAAGTAGGATAAATAAAACTAAAATAAACAACAAATATTTGAAAAGCGGAGATATTAGTTTTATTTTCGGCAAAATGTTTTAAAAGTAGTAAAATCTTTTTTTTGGAAAAAAACCGTTTTTTTTTTTTTTTTGGCGTTGGCAGAAAAATCAAATAATAAAAACAAAATATTAGGATCTAAAATTAAAGCAATTATCATTCAAATATAATGTGATTTACAATTAAACAGGAGTTTAAAGACGGCCGTCGGTTTTTTGTCTCATTTTTATTAAGTTTTAAAAATAAGAGAAGTTTATTTTTATAAAAAAATTTGGAAACTAATTCTCTAAAAAGAAGTTCAAACAACAACTTTCAGCTTTTTTTTAAACGGAACTATAACTCGAATAAGAATAATTAAATAAAAAAAATAACAATTAAAAAAATGGATTTTGATAAACTCAATGAGTAGTTATTTTAAAAAAATGTCATATTTGGAAGAAAAAAAAGTCATGAAATGACCACATAAAAGGAGCTTCATAACTTTTTTAAAAGTTAGACAGACATTGTTCAATTATAAATCATTGTTTAACTGTTATTGAATAAAAATGTCCCAATTATAAAGTGTAACATACAGGTTACACTTTATAATTGAACAATGTCTGTGTAAATTTTTTTTATTTGCAACTGCTCAACTATTTTAGCATAAAAATATGCACAAAAAGATTGAATGACTACTGCAAAAAATAACCTATGAGAGAAACTTTTTTAAAATCAAATTTACATAAAACTTTATACGTGTTAAAGAAAAGAAAAAAATTGATAATTTTTCTAAAAGTAATCATGAAAAAAAAAATAAAGTTCCTTTTATGTGGTCATTTTATGACTTTTTTTTTTTTTTTTTTTACCAAATATGACATTTTTTTAAATTAGCTACCCCTAAGAGTGTTGGTGTTTTAAGGGGTTCGGGGTTTATATATATATATACATAAACCCCGAACCCCTTAAAATTTCTAACTGTAGGCATCTGCCAGTACAACTAAATACTTCATGTTATTATTATAAAGCTTTAAAGCCTTGCTAATTATATGGAAACTGATATGACAAAAGGATCAGAGCGATCACAAGAGCTTTTAAGAATAGTAACCAATAATGCGTTGAATGAAGACATTTGCTGTTTATAATTTGTATTAACAGAACACAATAAAAAAAGATTTCTAGAACATACACACTAAGAAAAATTTCTAGAACACATTTATGCAATGACTTGCACAATCGCAAAGATTTTAACAAAGACTTTCATAACAGTATATAAAAAATTTGTTACCACTACCTTATAAGTTTTTTTTGTTGTTGTTGCAAATGTACCTTAAATCATTGGGATAACAATCCTACCTTAGATAAGAAACATTTTCATAATCTTGAGGCAGTCTTTTAAAACTAATGGAGTTATAAAATAAAATTAGAAAAGTAAAACTATTTAATATTTACATTATGATCATGTAAACTTTAATTAGTTTTACAGCAAAGGATTTAAAGTTTTTATATTTTAGTTTGATAACTCATTTCTTATCAAAATTTTATCTCAAGTTTTGGCACTATGGTTGTATGGGGGAGTGTCAAAAATGTACATGTATTAATAGATAGCGTCGTAAAACATTAGTTTATTTTTAAAAACTTTATTTTATTAAACGACTTTAAATGCTACACCAGATTTTATAGTTGATAAGTTGCAAATAAAATGTTATCATTGTGATTAACCGCATTTAAATGGACAACTACCGCAAAGAAAAAAAAAGATTTTAAAAAGAATTAAGATTTTTAACAAACGCTATTTCGGCATTTGTAGTTATAGTGTTATTATCATTGATAACCACAAAGGTTTTAGAAACTTGGCGCGGATTTAACTTTTATTTTCTTTATTGCTTGATAAGCAGCCTCTAAACATAGTTAACGCAACTGAAAGTTTTCATTGAATTCTGATATGATAAAGAAATAAAGCCTAAGATATAAAGTGCTACTTTTTACCTTCTCCCATTTGCATCAAATGGGATTTAATAAATCCGCAGCAAACCAATTTTAATATATAAAAAATATTTTATATATTTTCTTCTGTTCAAATGGAGGGCTAATTTAAGTAGTAAGTCTGCCATAAGTAAAAAGTGATTTTTAGACTGGTGATTTTTAGACTGTGTGTGAAGTAAAAAGTGATTTTTAGACTTTAAATAACTAGAAAGGTATACACAATTCACAAACAGTATTAACTTATCAGTAAATATAAAATTTCATATGACAAAACTGTAGAGAGATTATTTTTCTACTAATAAAATAGTTCACGAGAGGTCGAGAACAATTTTATTTAACAACTTGATTTTGTACTTGAGTGCAATTTTTATGCGCAGATTTTTCTAAAAGAAGATAATATTAGAAACAGTAAAAAACAAAAACCTGTGTAAGTTACAGTTAAAGTTATTTATTATAATTATTTCGATGTTTATCGTGCATTTACCGTTTTTACCGTAAGGCTAAACCCTAATAAATATGTTAAAAAACATATTTCTATTTTTTTTGATATTTTCCGTAATTAAACACGTCATTCACTCTAATATTTTTAGTAAATATAATTTTTATATAAAATAAATTTTCTCCTTTTAAATCATCCTAAAATAATAATGTAGCCGAAAAGGTTTTAGTTCAAACTGCTCACATCTATAAGTACACACACCTATTCTATTCAAACTGTACATTATAAATACAGAATTGTTATATATACGCTTACAATGCACTTGGTATAATTAAAACATAAAATTAATTCAATATTTAACTGTTTGAAAGTTAATTCAAAAGTTATTGGCAAAGTTTTCACGACTTGAAACGTTTTGTTTTATATTAATCTTTTTATAAATAAAATGTCATTAATGATTATAAATAGCTACAAGATCTAGAAAATAAATTTGAACTAATAAATTTTGACTTATTTGTTTATTTCGGTACGTAGTTAATGTAATTAACAGAATCATTAAACCAAATAAGTTGGATATAAATAACAGTTAAGTACTATACTATACAAAATATTCTTATTTTATAATAGACTATATCTTCATTACCTGGATTTATTTTTGGTTTGTCTTGAATCATTTTTCTAAATTAAAAAAAAAACATTTTGCTAAATTAAAAAAAAAAAAAACTCTTTGACTGGCCATTAAAATAACTTAAGGTGTGTGACGCCTCTGGGAGTTAACCGATTTTATCTTCTATATTGGTTAACTACTTGCTTATAATAATATCAATATTTGAATAATTTGAAAATTTAAATGGTACTTTAAACTTCTTTTAACAAGTTGAAACACAAAATTGGTTTTCAAGACAAACTAAATATTAAAATGAGCAAGGCATTAGAGTCAACTTATATATGTTTACTTTTAATATTTACGCTAACAATGAATGTTCTACTTTTAACTTTTCTGAAAAAACGATATTCCTATATAAACATTTCGATTTTATTTAATGCAAGTATTTCCGTCTGTGAGATTTTGCAGGTGACTTTAGGATATGTTCCTGATCTACTAGCTCAATTAGATTTCATAAAAGTAACAGTTTCTGGAAATGGATCATGGGTTTGTATAGGATCATCATTATTAACGTTTATTTTTGCCGTCGTTGTTTTGATGCATTTTCTTGTGCTTTCGGTTTCAAGAATTGTGGCAATAAAATATCCTGTTTTTTATGTAGCAACTTTTTCAAAAAAAAAGCTGTCAATTATTTTATTGATTTTATGTTACATTTACGGAATCATTTGGCCAGTTTTTCCACTTTTTAAATGGTCAAAGTACGCTAAAGATATTGACGAAAAACGCTGCTCCCTAGACTGGCGTTTAGAACAAAAAAATAGTTTTTCTTATATAATTTGCGTTATTTTGTTTGCTTTTATTTTACCGTTTGTTACAATATTTATTCTTTTGTTTTGTAAAAAGTATGCTACCATAGTCAATCAAAGCTCCCCTAGTCGAAGAAGACACTCTTCAATTGAGTACCAAAAAAAAATTAAAGGATTGGAAAAGAAATACTTTAACATGTGTGCAGCATCAACAATTTTGTATACTTTAGCTTGGAGTCCGTACGCAGTCGTAGGTTTTTTATCTGTTTTCAACATTATTATTCCACCAATGGTATCAACAAGTGCAGCTTTGTTTGCAAAATTATCCGCATTAATAAACCCTTTTGTTAATGTTTGGTTCAATTTGGAATTCCGAAATTTTATTTTTAATTTAAAGTCGATTCGGTTTTTTAAAATAAATCTTTGTATAAAAGTAGACCCACAGGAATCGATGACGTCATCAAAGGTCCAGTGTACAAACGTGTAATCGTCACTGAAAAACAGAACAACATTGTATAATTTATAATAATGTATTCAAATGAATGCGACTATAGTTTTCAACAATTAAGCATTTGTTTGAAATACATTGTTGAAAATAACTTTAATTTTTAATATACTATATTGAAACATACATTTTAATATGCCATAAAAAGATTCTTCGCCAGATCTACCTGCCAGATCTATCTTTTTAATCAGTGTGCATCATGCATTAGTCTGCAAAAAGAAAGTGAAATTAGTTTCTGGCTGATTATTGTAAAAAAAAAAAAAATCATTAATAATAATACTAATACTAATGATAATAAATAATAATATTTTTTTATATTATATTGTTACGTAGTTATTTACGATCATCTTTGAAATGTTTCATTGACGTTTTTATAATGTATTAAAAATATATTTTTATAAAATATATAAAAATATATTGACGTTTTTATGATGTATTGATAAATATATGTTTTTTTAATTTTCTGTCTAATGATTGTCCTTTTTTTTTTGTTTTTTTGTTTTGTTCTTCTCTTAAATATGCCAGCTTATATAAAATGCCATCTTCTATAAGTCAATTAGAATATTTTGGGAAATCAAGGCTCTTACCTATTTTATTTCTAAAGTTTAAGAAATATAATATATTGTCAAAGAATTTTATTTATTTTTTATTTATTTACTTTTGAAATTATTTTAAAAAATCATTAAAAAAAAGAAGAAAGTTGTATAAGTTTGGATGTTCCTTGAGTCACTTGATGAACTGTAAAAGTTCTTTAACAGCCCAAAAACCAATCTGGCAAGTAGTTGAATATTGTGGCTGCAGTAAGGGAAAAAAAATCAAGAGCCAAATTTTATTTTCCTCAGCTTTATCCATCAATTCATTCGATTTATAATTTGATTGGTTGTCTAACATAAAATTAATGGATGATTAATCCATTAATTTGTTTAATGCTAGGACAACCCTATATTGCAAAATAATCAACCATTTTGATAAAATTTCTGTATTTATCAATCCACTAAGACTAGCATCACCTTTAAGCATTTGGCTACACAAGTGAACTCAAGAAAATATCAAAAACGTTGAAATAAAATTTCCAACTGGCACCGTAAAAATGGGTAACTTTGCGCAACCTTTGGAAATTTTGCACAATGACATCTCTAACAATTAAAGATTTGTACTGCAACAACAAAACACTTTAGAATTTGACAGTTTTAGAATCGATTTAAACTTTAGAATTTACTTTAGAATTAAATAGAATAGACTTTAGAATTCGATAGAATTGGAACACTTTAGAATTCAATAGTTTATTCTTAAAAACAAAAATTGTTTTTTAGAATAAAATATTGAAGTTTAAAAACAAAAATCATGTAGAAAATCATGCAGAATATGCTTTTGTGTAAGCCTTTTACATTTTAAATCTTCATTGTAATCGTCAATCTTCATGTAAATCGTCATTGTAATTTCTGGTTTTATAAAAACTCGATACCTGAAAAAAAACTTTATTGTTGTTTAAAATTTGATTTACCAAAAAACTTAAAACATTAAAAATGAATGTAATAACTCTTATAAACCTTTAGCTTATATAAAGCTAAGGTTTAAAAAAAGATAATTTAAGGCAGTTGTGGTTATTTTGCACATTGTGTTAGTGTTATTGCAATTTCTACCAAATAAGTTGTTAATCCACAAAATTGGCAATCTTTAATTGTCAATACTGACAATTGCTTTAAAACACACTATACTGTGAACGAAAACTGTGATGAACGTATTAAGCAGTTTACTCACCTTTGGGTTCAATTCTGATCTTCTGCACTAGATGAAGTTGTAAAGCATAATTTTTGTTGCTTTTATCTATGCTCAAATAAATTTACTCGTTTTTGCAGAAATTCCGTTAAAACCTGACTCCGGCTTTAAAAAATGCTTGGTAAAAAGAGGTAGAAATTATACCACAAATATAAGAAATACTTCTAATACAAGTATTTTCATTATGATATTAGGTAACGCATCAGAAGAAACTCCACCTCATTTTGTAGTTTATAAGTCTATTATTCTCAGTCAACTTGGTGTGTAGAAGGTCAACAGTCAACTTGGTGTGTAGAAGGTCAACAGTCAACTTGGTGTGTAGAAGGTCAACAGTCAACTTGGTGTGTAGAATAGTCAAATACTTCAACACTAACAGTTAGTTTGATACAGCAGCTTTTGAAGATTTTTTTCTATAGTTTTACCTTCTTTAAAAATGAAATTAGGAGTTAAGGTTTTGTTAGGCAACAAACGTTGTCTCATATTTCGTTTAAAGTAATTAATGCTTTTGAAGAAAATGGAATAAAGTTTGTTTGCCTGCCATCTAATAGCACATATATAATTCAACCTCTAAATGTCTCTTTTTTAACAGCTCGGTGTAAAATTGTCACAGAGTACAAAAATTCTCCTGCTAGATGCACAATGACATTTTTTGACAAAAAACACTGTCTTGGCAAAAAACACTTTCAACTTTTAATTAAGATATTTATTGTTGTTGGGCCAAATTAAGTTAACAATTTACAATCGAGTTTTAAAAAGTGTGTTGTTTAATCAGTAAATGACAACTAACTTAACAAAAATTAGAGAAAGAAGCTCTAGAAGACAACTTTAGGATTTTTTTACAAGACAATTATAAATCTTTGCATCTGTAGGGACTAATTAACAAAAAAAAAAGACATTTCAACAGGTAAGATTATTAGCATAGAATGTTAAGTCTAGTTTGATGAGAGTCATGATATTGCCTCAAAGAGCCTTACAAAGATGAAAAAGAACATAATAATCCAATTGCGTTAAGTTAAAATTTCAGTCTGTAAAAGATCAAAAAGATTACCATGACCACAGTTCAAGATCAAAATCATTTTAATTTATTTCGTCACTATATAAATTTTTTAAATATTTGTGCAATAATTTTTATTATATAAATATAAAAATAATTGTTGTACGAATAATAAGAAAAAAGTGTGTAAAGGTTTTGCATCTTTAAATATATGTATATATATATATATATATATATATATATATATATATATATATATATATATATATATATATATATATATATATATCAATCAAGTTAATAACGGTAATGATTGATTTTTAATCACTTTTACACAAATAAATTGATAAATTTTAGTGTAATTTGATCTTTTGCTCTGCCAGTATCATTTTTATTAAATGCCTAAAGGAAAGTATTTGACAGATGCTGAAAAAATACAAATTAATTTATATCGTGGCTCAGAAATCTCACCAGCACTTTCTATATAAGAAATAGCAAGAAAAATTGGAAGATCTGACTATGTTGTATGAAACTGCATTGCAAAAGGTGACAATTACGGTGTAAAAAAAGCAACAAACTGCAACAAAGTATTAACAAATCAGCAAATTAATCGAATTCCCTTTGAAGCAACCAAAAATAAATTGAATGCAACACAAATAAAGGATAAATTATTATTGCCTGTCACCAATAAACATGTTCACATATTCTACGTACAACACCAAACGTAAAGTGGAAGAAACCACACCAAAAACCAATGTTAAAAAACACCATAAAATTGCTAGATTACAGTTTGCTAAAAAACGTAATATTTTCAGATGAAAAAAAGTTCACTTTAGATGGTCCGGACTCTTACAGTTGTTATTGGCATGATCTAAGAGGAATAAATGACCCACAAACAAAACGAAATTATGGTGGAGGAAGTTTAATGGTTTGGGGTGGATTTTCTTATTCAGGAAAATTAACTCTGTGTTGTGGTTTAACGACTAGTGGAGTCAATAAAAGGCAGAATTTTTGAGGTGATCCAATGTAATGGAGGACATACGCATTACTAATTTCCATTTTTTAATGTCAAAAATATGACTGCGTCTATAGATATATTCCAATTAAAAAATGTACTTTTGTATATCAAACATACTCTCATGTTA